CATCAGATTAGAGAACTATTCATAAACTTATAAAGAAAAAATATATGTTCATTTATATGCAAGAAATTTACATGCAAAATATTAGTGTACATAAAGAAGAATCTGCATAACACAAAAAAATAATAATCATTTACATAACACGTAATATTCCTAAAGGCTTCCTTCTTTAGAATTCCATCTTTATTGCTTGAAGTCTTCTTTTCATCATAGAGAAAATTGTACAGTATTAATGGCCATATAAGAGGATTGATATTACACTGCAGTTCGGTGTTTCATTTTTTTTGGTTCCACCAAAATGTTCCTATTCTTTAATGCATTGCTTAGGTTTCGCAAGGCTACTTTTGCAATTTTGATGGGGGGTAACACATTTTCAATCCTTTGTTAAAAAACACTTCTATCGGTGTGTCTCTCCACAATGTCGGCCTCTCCAGATTAGAGTACTATTTATAAATTTATAAAGGAAAAAATATATGTTCATTAACGTGAAAGAAATCTACATACAAGACACTAGTTTAAAAATAAAGAGGAATTTTCATAACACAAAAAATAATATTCATTTACATAACACGTAATATTCCTAAAGGCATCCTTCTTTAGAATCCCATCTTTGTTGCTTGAAGTCTCCTTTCCATCTTTGAGAAAATTGTGCAGTATTAATGGACATATAGGAGGATTGATATTACACTGCAATTGGGTATCCTCTGTTAAAAACAGTTCCCAGATATTTAAACTTCTATACTTGGTTGATCTTGACATCAGCGACACGTAGTTCGTATCTTGGGCTTTTTCTCCGGCTGATATCTTATATTCTGTCTTCTTACAGTTGATTAGTGCTTCCTTCTTGTTTTTCTTTACTGCTCTTTTTAGGTGGCCCTGTAGATGTAGTTTCTGCCTTCGACACAGCATCAGCATTGTTGCTCACAGATAGTAAATTCTGGCCTAGGCTTAGAATAGGCTTAGAGGCTGAATAAATCCGGTGACAGTTTTACTTCATTGAATAGCCTTTGAAAATAATGGGAATTCGAGTTGGCGTTTAAACACTTGTCTTTGGCTATACCAAGGATAAGTATTTCAACCTAAACGCAATATATGACGAAACAAATTCTTCTTGTTGGCTGAGTTTCAAAGAGGATTCCTCGCTACGAATTGTTAGAAGCCGATCAAAATGCGCTGAGCCATACTGAGCAATTGATTGACGCATTGGAAAAGAAACAAGAATTTTTTTCTTAAGAATGAAGATTTCTTTTACGGACTGACAATGCTTATTATTTAGATGTAAAAGCATGTATCCCGAGAACAAAATAATGATAAAACAATGAAATAGATAAAAACGGTTTTAATAAAAAATGCTATTAAACAAATTCTTGAAAATTGATTGCGAATAAATGTTTCCCGGCAGTCAATGCTGAATAGTCAGTGATGAAAGAAGCATAGGAAAATGATGTTCGTTATTTACTGTCACCCCTATCTTCACAATATCGTTAAATTTTGCGAAGTTTTCAGACGTTCTGGGATGTCCCCGTGTAATGGCTAAAGACTCGGAATGTGAAATGATAGAGACGAGTTCTAATTCAAGTCGGTTTTGTTGCATACGCTTACGAAAAAATGCCCTCCATCTTTGGGTTAAATAATAGTAATTATATCTGAGAAAATTCATTGTTATTCTAAAAATATATTGTTAATTAAATCACTCGGAAAATAACGAATTGTTCTTAAAATACAAGAAAACATTCGATTCAAAAACCAAGAAAAATTTCGACTTAAAATCCAAGATGAATTTCGACTTAAAATCCAAGAAAACTTTCGACTTAAAATCTAAGATAAAAAAAATATTACCAGCAATACATTTTAGTAGTAATTGTATCTGGAAAAAAATCATTTTTTATTCTAAAAAAATAAGATAAATGAAATCACTCGGAAAAAAACGAATTGTTCTTAAAATGCAAGATAAATTTCAACTCAAAATCCAAGAAAACTTTCGACTTAAAATCCAAGATAACTTTCGACATAAAATCCAAGATAACTTTCGACTTAAAATCCAAGAAAACTTTCGACTTAAAATTCAAGATAACTTTCGACTTAAAATCCAAGAAAACTTTCGACTTAAAATCCAAGATGAATTTCGACTTAAAATCCAAGAAAACTTTCGACTTAAAATCAAAGATAACATTCGACTCAAAATCCAAGAAAACTTTCGACTTAAAATCCAAGATAACTTTCGACATAAAATCCAATATAACTTTCGACTTAAAATCCAAGAAAACTTTCGACTTAAAATTCAAGAAAACTTTCGACTTAAAATCAAAGATAACATTCGACTTAAAATCCAATTCGAAAACTTTCGACTTAAAATCCAAGATGAATTTCGACTTAAAATCCAAGAAAACTTTCGACTTAAAATCAAAGATAACATTCGACTTAAAATCCAAGATAACATTCGACTTAAAATCCAAGAAAACTTTCGACTTAAAATCCAAGAAAACTTTCGACTTAAAATCCAAGAAAAATTTCGACTTAAAATCTAAGATAAAAAATATTACTTAAAATCAATACATTTTAGTAAAAACTTTTGTATCTGAAAAAAAAATCATTGTTATTCTAAAAAATAATATAAATGAAAATCACTTAAAAAAATGAATTTGACTTAAAATCCAAGAAAACTTTCTTAAAATCAAAGATAAATTTCAACTCAAAATCCAAGAAAACTTTCGACTTAAAATCCAAGATAACTTTCGACATAAAATCCAAGATAACTTTCTACTTAAAATCCATTTTAGTAGTAAAGAAAAAAAAATTGTTTTCGACTTGAAATCCTCGGAAAAAAAAATTCAAGATAACTTTCTACTTAAAATCCAAGATAAATTTCGACTTAAAATCCAAGAAAACATTCGACTTAAAATCCAAGATAACATTCGATTTAAAATCCAAGATAACATTCGATTTAAAATCCAAGATAACATTCGACTTAAAATCCCAGAAAACTTTCGACTTAAAATCCAAGAAAACTTTCGACTTAAAATCCAAGAAAGCTTTTCACTTAAAATCCAAGAAAACTTTCGACTTAAAATCCAAGAAAACTTTCGACTTAAAATCCAAGAAAACTTTCGACTTAAAATCCAAGAAAACTTTCGACTTAAAATCCAAGATAACTTTCTACTTAAAATCTAAGAAAACTTTCTACTTAAAATCTAAGATGACTTTTTGACTTTCACAAAGTGTTGATAAACATTAGGAAAAACAATCCATCAATCAAATTCTTCATTGGGCGTCCCAGAAATCTTAATCTCCTTTTAAATTCAAGTGTCCTTTTTAATTTAAAAAATAAAGATAAGTTTTTTATTTGCAACATTAACTTTATTAAACAGGGTTTTTTTTGCCTATTTCTGACTTATGCAAGTAAATTTCCAATGACACTTCTTCAGTATTTTATGTTTTTTTTTGAACGACAAACCACTGTATGTGCCTGTTGAAGACTTTCGGACTATTGGTATTATTTATAGCGCGTTGGTTTGCCTTTGGAGATATTCTAAACATTAGCTGGCGCTGAAGAACTTGCCATTGTCTTCAGGTTCCATAAATTTTGTCTTGTGACTTTACTGGCTGTAAAAAATGAATTTATTGGGACAATCCGAAGCGGGTGAAATTTTGTCTAGATCCAAGAGAGACATTAACATCACAGCCTAACCGAAATATACTGCAGAACAAGTTGGCTACGTTTCAGATGGGATTCTGTACCACCAATAGTTAGAAACTGAACAAAGGGCTCGGAGCTATAACGGGTAGTTGGCTTGGCTGACTGATTCATTGGAACAGCAACAAACAATTTTCTATGCAAGGAAATCAACCGCCGATTTTACTGCATGACAACGCTAAAAGATAAATTGCTAATGCATGTACCCGTTTAACAGAAAAGTAATATATTCTTGTTTTATGTGCCCTGTCTCTTCAGAACGTGAGCGACAATGGCTCTCCACAACTTCCTTTTTAGATCTTACCAATGTTTCTTTTTACTATCCGTGCCACTGCTTAGTCGAATTACACAAGTATTGGTTTGGTTTGGTTTTATATGTTTTACGGCATATCAACACCAATGGGTCATTTAATGCCGACAACTTTTTTCCTGGTAATATTTTGCTTTTGTCAAAAATCTATTTCTGGTAATATTTTTCATCAAAGATGTATAGCTAGCAATATTATTTTAAAAAATGTATTGCTGGTAATATTTTTTTTTCAAAAATATATTGCTGGTAATAGTGTTTTATTTTCCTTGAAAAATTTATTTTTGGTAATAATTTTTTTACAAAGTATTTCTGGTATTAAAACCTATTTTTACACTTTTATAAGGCTTTTTACCTCAGTTACGGGGGTAACTATTTGCCCACAGCTTGGACCCTAACAGCGGATAGAGTTTATCGTCATGCCCAGGACGCGGATGTAGTCTGGGTGTTAACTATTTGCCCATAGCTGGGATCTTAACAGGTGCTATCACCCCGGGTCAGGGTGGACCTGGGAACACCAGCAATTCAGTGGTAGTTCCATGCTCCTCAAAACCCCTGATCAGAGGCCTTGCTGTTAGACGTAGTTTATCGTCTTACAGAGGAAGGCGGATGTAGTTTATCGTCATACCCAGGACGGCACAAGTATTGGATACACATTCTGTCTTACTTTCTCTTTTCTCAATATATCCTGTGAGTGACATATTCTTCATGCCTTCTTTCCTCGTTATGTGTCTAATACATTTCAAATGTCGCTTCTTGAACCAAACGGATGTCTCGTTATCGTTGCCATATTCTTTAAAATTTCCTATATGCTCAATCCATGTCCTTCTCAGTATCCGTCTACAGAACTACGTTTCAAGGGTTTGGAATTTCTTTTTCATCTGCATGGAAATTATACGCCATTATCTGCATTATAGAAAAACTGATATTATAGAGCATTTCAGCATTTCTTTTCCATTTTAAAGAAATCTTCCTATTCCATAATGCATTAACATTTGGGCCTTACAGCGGTGAAACACCGGTTCACGCACGATCTCCGAAGTTGAGTAACCTCGAGCCTGGTCAGTACTTAGATGAGGGACCGCTTGGCACTAACAGGTACTGTGAGCTTGGGTGTTCAGAAGGTATTATTGGCTTACGGCCATATTACAATAAAGCATCGGTTCTCGTACGATCTCCGCAGTTAAGCAACCTCGAACCCGGTCAGTACTTAGATGAGGGACCGCTTGGCACTAACAGGTACTGTGAGCTTGGGTGCCCAGAAGGTATAATTGGCTTACGACCATATTACCATAAAGCATCGGTTCTCGTACGATCTCCGAGGTTAAGCAACCCCGAACCCGGTCAGTACTTAGATGAGAGACCGCTTGGCACTAACAGGTGCTGTGAGCTTGGGTGTCCAGAAGGTATAATTGGCTTACAACCATATTACCATAAAGCATCGGTTCTCGTACGATCTCCGAAGGTAAGCAACCTCGAACCTGGTCAGTAACTAGATGGGTGACCGATTGGGAATAAAAGGTGCTGTAAGCTTCGATGTGCGGATGGTATAATGGGCTTATGACCATATTAACTTGAAACACCGGTTCCCGTAAAGTCACCGAAGTTAAGCAAACTCGAGCCTGGCCAGTACCTAGTACCTAGATGGGTGACCGCATGGGGACAACGGGTGATGTAAGCTTGGATGTAGTGTAATCGATAATTGCTTGGAATTGTTAAAGTTCCAGTTGGGTTCGTTATATATTCACTTACGTGCAAATACCCTTGGGAAAGGTATCACTCTAACTCCACTCGCTGCTCTACTTGTACAAATGATTACAATCTTATCCGTCCTGGGTATGACGATAAACTACATCCGCGTCCTGGGTATCACGATAAAATTTATTCAACAGCAAGGCCTCTGATCAGGAGGTTTTGAGGAGCATGGAACCACCTCTTAATTGCTGGTGTTCCCAGGTTCACTCTGACCCAGAATGGTGGCACCTGCTATGGGTAAATAGTTATCTCCCAAACTGGGGTCAAAATACTATGAACGTGTAAAAATAGGTTTTAATATCAGAAATACTTTGTAAAAAAGATAGCTTTTTTACAAAGTATTTCTGTTATTAAAACCTATTTTGAATAGCAATAACTTTTTGAAAAAAAAACAAAACAAAAAAAACAAAAAACAGCGACATTATTTTGAAAAGAAAAATTACAAGGGATACATTTTTGAAAAAAAAAAATTACCAGAAATAGATTTTTGAAAGAAGAAAAAATTACCAGCAATAAAAATTTTGTCGGCATTAAATAACCCATTGAGTTTGATATGCCGTAAAATAAAACAAGCAAACAAACAAACTTACAATCTTATATTTCTGGGTTTAAATAATCTGCAAAGGGTCGATAAGTCCTAAAAAAATCATTTACCATTTAGGCGGTATCTTTCGTTATTCCAGTCCATCTTAGGATTTCGATGCAACATTTGCCCAGTAATTCTGTATTTGATTTTGACATCTCCAATATAGTGATGTTTGGTTTGATTTATTTCGTTTTACGGCATATCAACCTCAATGGGTTATTTAATGCCGACAAAAATGTTATTACTGGTTATATGTTTTTCTTCAAAAATCTATTTCTGGGAATATTTTTCCTTGAAGAAATCTATAGCTGGTCATATTTTTTTTTTCAAAGAATGTATAACTGTTTCTATTGCTGGTATTTTTTTTAAAATTATTGCTGATAATAATTTTTCCTTCAAAATTATTGCTGGTAATATTTTTTTTATTACAAAGTATTTCTGGTATTAAAACCTATTTTTACACAAGTTTGGGTGTCAACTATTTGCCCATAGCTGGGACCCTAACCACCCCGGGTTAGGGTGGACCTGGGAACACCAGCAATTAAGAGGTGGTTCCACGCTCCTCAAAACCTCCTGATCAGAGACCTTGCTGTTGGACGTGGTTTATCGTCTTACCCAGGACGAGGATGTTGTTTATCGTCTTACCCAGGACTAATATAGTGATATAATCATAGAGCTGAAGATGAAAGATTTATTCTTCTATTTGTATTCTGCCCGCTTATGGGCATTATTATATCCATGATATAATTTATCCGTATTTCACGAACAAAAGGAAAAATGAATGGCAAACATGCTTCTTTCTCAGAAAGACTTTTATAATACCAAATCATACAAAAAACTATATATATATATATATATATATATATATATATATATATATATATATATATATATATATAGGATATATGTGTGTAAGGCAGGATATATGTGTGTGTAACGAATGCACGGCCGCAATTTTCGACGGATTTGCACCAAAATTTACATGCACATGCTCCAAGTTAGCGGGAAGGCCAAGAACGAATTTTACATTTACCAACTCCCATCCATACTGGAAATAATCGATTCTTTTTCATTTTTCTACGTCAGTTTTCATGTAGTTTGCGGCCATTTTGTACTGGCCAGAGTGAGAGCCTATAGCTGGCTGTCACGAATAGGCTGGAAGATTCTATTGGCCAGCGTGAGAGCCAACATCTGACTGACTCGAATGTTAATTAGCATGCTAGCATGCAAAAAAAAAATCGATAGCTGCATTCGTCACTTGAGTGAAATATTTAAATCTGCATGGACCTTTACTTCAGTTGGCTCATTCGCTTGCTTAAACTCCACGTATTCTGATTCCGCAGAACTGGGTTGGGTGTGAAAAAGTATTTGTTGTTAACATTCTTTTTTCATTCGGTTTTTCGAGTTACGAGTCCTTTTTTTAATGCTGATCGTTTCCTGTTTTGTTTCTTTTTCGTAAGATATTTAATGTTTAGTATAGAGATTCGAAAAAATTCTCAGTGTGAGATAGGCAAGAAGTTAGGGATGTAGCAACATCAGCACGGCAAAGGGCACTCCTTTAAAGGCAAGCAAGAGCAAAAAATATTTTAAGTCAAGTGATAGCGATTGCTGTATGAGTCGTACGATTTTTGAATCAAGCACAGGCAACGCTGGGCCATGCTGCTAGTATATATATATATATATATATATATATATATATATATATATATATATATATAAAGTACGATGTAAAAAAATGGACGCACCAATAGAAATGATGATGAACAAAATGCAAAGCTTATCACAGATGATAAGTTTAATCGAAGTGATTCATGTGTCCGCAAGTTAATTAAAAAGAGAAATCAAATAAGAACATACAATGGGTGTAGCGGATATGGCAGACTGATAAAACTTACCGACAGGGAAGAGAGAAATTTGGTTCGTCAATGCAAAAAAAAGATCGATTCACAACAGCACAGGATGTTTCCAAAGCAGCTAGTTTGGCGGTTTCTTCAAGAACAGTGAGACGCAGACTTAAAGCAAAAGGCATTGTTTCGAAAAACATAAAATGAGAAATATTTCGTATCTGGAAAAAATCGACGGACACATTTGGCTTAGTCAAAGCTCTTTTACACTAGACTAAATCTGATTGGGAAGATGTTATGTGGAGTGACGATAGCCCCCTTACTCTTAGATATGAAGGACGTATACGTGTTTGACAAAACGAATAATCCAGTGACTACCAATGGCACTGTTATAAGATAAAAAAAAATCATCTTTTAGGGTACATTCTCAGCAGCAGGAATTGGTAATTTGTACAAAATCAAAGGAATCATGGACCAGCATCAATACCACAACATTCAACGAATTCTATTACTCACTTGACTTATATATATATATGTCACAGGCGAGGACATATTCCACAAATGGGTCTTGGGTTTCCCATACTGACAACTATGATCTGGAGTGTCTTTCCCCACCTGGGAAATATATATTTACAAAGAGAACCATCACTATGGACCCTTAACATTCTAGAGCGGCAGCTTTAGCTTGTTCTCAGGCCATGGGGTGGAGGACCCGTGTTAAAGATGGTAGTGGTATATAAATAACAGAAAAAAAACCTTTTGTCATAAAGATGTCGTTAGACACGTTGTTGAAGATTTCCTATAGTTGAATGTTTTTCTGTCATCGGAAATCATAAGAGGTGAGGAAAGAGGTAAATACAGATGGTTACTCAGTTTTAAATTTAGTCTTGTAAAAGATTTTTCAGAGGCTAGGATTAAAATGGAGTTAAATAAATTGTTACGAAATAAAACAAATATGATATCGTAAAAATTGTCTCAGTTCATCATTTTTGCAACATAAATTATTTTGCTACTCAACACGTTTATTCCTACTGTCAAAGATATCAGTATTTTATGAAACGCTATCACAAGGTAAACGAATGTCACGGTGATTCGTCAACTGAAATGAACCTTCAATATTTCCTGTGATTTTCTTAGTTCTGTCAAGAAATAAACAACTCACCTCAAAATCCTGTGCACAGATATATATATATATATATATATATATATATATATATATATATATATATATATATATATATATCATGTCATTCGCATACAGGCCTGTTTTGCAGTATCACAGTTCATCAGTGCGACTAGACAAACGAATACTTCAAGCCAGGGTCGAAAACCGACTGATGTGGTATCGGTCGGATTTTCTACCCCCAAACTATCGGCGCTTTACACACACACACACACACACACACACACACACACACACACACACACACACACACACACATATATATATATATATATATATATATATATATATATATTATGAAATGGACAAAGTCCGACAATTATTTTCAGACATTTTTTTTAATATTTATACGTTCTTTTTATAGATACAAATATTTAAGTAAATGCTCTCTTTTTATAACAAACAGTATTAAACAACATTTACCGGGCTGAATGTCCGAGACATTTGCATAGAAAATATGCGTCCTCCGACAGGAATCGAACTTGTATCCTATACAGAACACGTCATATAGCCTGACGTGCTTTTACCGATTTCGCCACAGAGGAAGACGAAAGTTTGCTATGACAATTTCTCGGATATTCAGGCCGATAAATGTTCTTAATACTGTTTATTATAAAAACAGCGCATTTACTTAAATATTTGTATTTATAAAAAGAACGTATAAAGATAAAAAAGAATGTCTTAAAATATCAGTATTTATATTTTGATATTTTAAATATAATTTTTTGCTAGTCATTTCACCTCAAACAAGGAAAAAACCCAACTAAGACGCAAGCATGTGTTAGAAAATATCAGGTAAAAAAAAACACACTATTAAGGAGTACGATGAAAGAATAGGAATTAAGAAGACAGAAGATAACGATTGATATTGCGTTTGCATTTTTCAAGATCAAATTTTTCTGGGAAGCAAGAAGCCAGGAGAGAGTTGCACAGGCGAGAAGTGTGACAGAAGAATCTGTTAGCATAGAACTTACTGTTACATCTAGCAATTTCAATTCTGAAATGACGGGACATTTTTGTGGGTTTCATCTCGAAACATCATTGCAACAAGGTTCACATTTTCATATCTTCCCTGCGCCTTCCATGTATATATATATATATATATATATATATATATATATATATATATATATATATATATATATATCCCAATAAAAACATTATTTAGTCTGATGAAGTCCTTCTAGAGGACGAAACACGTTACACATTTTCGTCTTTATCATTAATTTGCGTAATATATATATATATATATATATATATATATATATATATATATATATGTATGTGTGTGTGTGTGTATGTGTGAGTGAA